CGTATCTGACAGATGCATGCTATGAAACTCGTCCAAGTCACAACCCATCGTCTCTGTCTGTCATAATGTCTGCAAGGTATAACCAAGAAAAAACAATTAGATACAAATAAATTAAAAAACAAAAAAGAAATGTTTTACTTCCAGATATGTACACACGAAAAACTTCTGTATATGTATCTACAGAAGTACCTAGAATTCACAATGTTTGATTTGTTCCGGAGCTGCATCTACGGAATTTCTCTAACATTAATCTGTTCCGTAGATGAAGCTCCAGAACTTTTTGCAACTCCAACAGTCACGACAATGGCGTCCCCTATCCATGAAAATCGATTTTTTAAAGCCTTGATTGTCCGTTTCAACCAACAAACAATACCTACATTATCTTTAAACTATGTTTCTAAAAATATCTAAGGATTTCTACCCCTAAAATTATATTCTAACTCGTTTACAGAAAATACTCGAAAATACCTCGAAAACTCAAAAACTTACCGATTATATCGAGCTTTAAATTTTTTGGAGTGTCTTGATCGTTGAAATGAATGCTCATTGTCGAAATCGATTGAAATTTTTTTTGGTGAAAAATAATTTTTTTGAGGATTGAGAGAGTTTGAGAGTGAAGAAGATGAAAAATGAAGAATGAGGGAGGAGAAGAGACTTTGACACGAATGTATTTCAATATGTTCCGGGCTATATAAACGGAAACATTCTGTAGATGTAGTTCCGAAAAAAATCAACATTCAATAAAGAAAAAGTGCGTCCGAAAATACATCTCCAAAAACAGAAAAAATATTTTTGAAAGCGCACATAATATCTAAAAATCATAAAAAAAAAATAAAAAATTCTCACTTTTTATCTCGAAGCCTTCTTTGTTGGGCCCTCTTTGCATTCCAAAACAAAAATTAAGTATAATATTTTTATATTTTATTCATTAACATGTACGTTTACCTTTTTAAGATTAGTCTTGGAATGTGATGATCCTTTGCTCGGTGGATGAAAAAGAAGTTAGTGGACTGCTAGTTGCCACAAACGTGTGAGTCTCTACAAATAAAATAAATTAAGACTTTTCAAACATTAATGTGGATAGTTTTTTTAAGTGATTTTTTTTTAAATTTATTATTTAACCTCATTATAAATTAATACACCAAAACATAAATAATTTTATAATTAATTTTTATTTAACTAAAGTCAATTTACAAAATAATGTTTCAACTTTTATTTATTTATTTTGTCAATCCATAACCAAATAAACACATATTTCATCCGTCTCAAATTATAAAACGTTTTGAGTATTTCACACGAATTAAGAAATTCAATTATTATTTTATAAAAAATTAAAATGATCTACAATTTTACAAAAGTGTAATTAATTAATTGTTTTGGAAATCGGGTTAAAGGAATAGGAAGAAGAAAGAGAAATAAATGATAAAAAGTATATTAAAAAAAATCATTAATATTGTATTGGAATTCTAAAGTGACTTATAATTTGGAACAAATATTTTTTACAAAGTGATTTGTAATTTGAGACAAAGGTAGTATATTATACTTTTCATATTTTCTGCTCCATGATAGAATGAGAAATGAATGATATAAATAGGGATCTCGTTCGCTACAACGACAAGTATCTCCAATCGACAGATAGTGATGGACATGTAAAATTAGCATCTATTGATACAAGTTATTGTGATTAGAGTAGAAATTTTCGCGAGTGCAATTTGAACGATTTTGACATTAAAAGTCATTCAAATCAGAAAAGAAAAAAAAACGTATGTTTTAATTTGGTTCAGTTGGATTTTAAAAACAAAACAAAACCAATATGCGGTTTTGGTTGGTTATGTTTTTTATAAGATTTTATTGAACCATACATACACATATAATGGACATCATAACTTTCTGTTTAGTCTTTCATACATTACCAAATGACAAATAATAAGAGAGAAAATTTTACCTCGCGAAAAAGATGAGAAAATGAAAAAGAGAAGAGAGAGATTAAAAAAGAAGAGTTGAAATGTACCTTGCAAAGAAGATGAGAAGAACACGTGATACTACTAGGAGAGATTAGAGAAGGCTGATATTGAAACTCTAAGTGTGAGAAAGAGAAAATCATTCATAATTGCAAAGTTAAGGCATAATATGTTTGAGTTTCAGTTGAATGTGAGTCAAGTGAAATTTGAATTGTAACATAATGCAATTTGATTTGATTTAGTTTTCAAAATATAAACTGCAAACTGATCTGAACCTTGCGATTTTGTTGAAAAATGACTCAAACACATCTGAATCAAATACAATTTTTTGTAGTTTTTGGTTTGGTTCGGGGTTTTTTATTGGGACGGTTCGATTTTGAACACCCTAATCGGAGAGATGTGGTTGTAAGAGTGAAAAATTGGATAATATATGTTATCGCGCATGGTGAAGTTTATATATGATAGACGATTTAAGTTGTCTCCATCTAATCCGACGCATGACACAGCGAGCTGTTCGATCAAATCTAATAGTTGCTAATGGATCGATGACTAAGAGCAGGTGCCTAAATTTTTATCGAGGTCCCACGTGTTTGTCAGTTGTTAGAGATGACACCCTAGATTAGGCCATTTGTGATTAAGCTTATTCCATTGGGATTTTGATCAGACCAAAACATTTTCATTAATTATATTCAAATTATTATTGTTGATGAAAAGATTTAACGTAAATAATTGAACTAGCACAATTAAAAAGTAAACATATTATCTGTATAGTTGAGTCCAAACCGGATCAAGATTCGCTACAATTGAGATAAGACACCGTCACACAGTCAGTGTGTTATAGACCATTGGATGTTAATAAGATGATACATATTTAATATAATAATTATATTCAAACGATTATAATTATTAGATGGCTGAAATTCACCTGTAATTACTATTTGACTGCAGAGAATCCATTTTCGTTTAAACCATTATTAAACCTTGATTTAAACTACATGCCAAGAGAGTGTCAGTCTCTTTCAAGATTTCATAACATTTCCATTCTCAAAATCTTAAATTGATTAATACTCACACTTATAGAAAATCTCCATTAGGGATGACAAAACGACAAAGCCCGCCATCCTTGCTCGTTTTGTCGATACTTTTTCGAGTACCCAACCAAGATTTTATGCCATCGCTTATAATGTATCGGCCTCGTCCCACCTTGTTTTTTTTGTGTGGTCGGAATGATTAATATTTTTTACAACGTTTATCTTGTAGAGATGCAAGGTCCGCATGTCCACCTAGTTACACCCTCATTTTTTACAAGGCTGACCATGATTTTAGGTTCGCATCCTGAACACTGTTTGTCCCTCCTAATCTTATTTATCTACAAATTTTTGCAGGGCAGAACTAAATAGGTCGGGCATGCCTGTTTGCCACCCTTATCGCTAAACATACATTTATGTTATATCTTATTTAAGATTCTTAATAGAGTGCAAGAACAACAACCAAACTTTATTCTGCTAAATGAAATAAATTACATGGATACAATAATGTCACAATATTCTATCCAATATGTTTCAATCTAAATCTTAACATTAAAATCTTTTTTAATAGTTTGTCTTATAGTTTTTCTAGGTATTTCTATATCTTTATTTATTTGACTCATCTCCATATGATTTATTCTCCTTACAACATGATTTACATGTCTTATCTCCACATGCCTAAATCACTTAAGTCTCTTTACCATCATCTTTTTTTACTATAGGTGTTAACTCAACACTCTCTCTTATATTGTCATTTCTAATCTTATCGTGTCTAGTCTTACTACACATCAAATACAACATTCTCATATCTGATATACTTAATTTATTCTAATGTTAATTATTAATTGCACAACATTATATCACATAGAATATTGTAGATTTTATCAATGTCCGATGAAACTTTCTCTTCACCTTAAGTAATACTTTTGTGTCACATAAAATTATTAAGACCCGTCTCTATTTCATCCACTAAGCTTGAACTTGATGGTTTACATCTTCTTCTATTTCTCCATTATTTTGAATTACATGCATAGTATATTTAAATAATGTGTCTTATGGTATGATATGTTCTCAAACTTTCATCTCTAAATTTTAACCTTGTTATGTATAGTCAATCACAAACCTGAATAAAAAGATAAAATTGTGTTAGACAGTTGATAACCAACATTTAACTTTATCAAATATCATGGATCTTACCAAAGTTAACATAACATAATTCTTCACTTTGAGAATGAACTACTTAGAATGTTATTTATCTGATATCAAAAGTTTAATAGCAATTGATTCAACGAAATTTTAATACGATATTAAAGTTTTATACGTCGGTTTCTATTTCGAAAGAGATAAAAATTATTGTTGACATATAAAATTGATTTTGATGGTTTGATTCTTCTCTAGTAGAATTAATTATGTCTTTTAGAGTAAATTCTATTTGAGAATTATAATATGTAGCATTTAAGTATAAAAATGATTCTTACATTAAATTTTATTACTCATTTGACTTTTGTATGAACTAATATAATCACAAATCATTTTATTATGAAGCCAATTTTAAAAGATAATCAATTTTACACCATCAATCTATTCAAAATCAATTTCTCTTAACAAATCTTGTTAGAATCTTCTATACAATACTCATAATCTTTTATTCAATACTCTTAATAAGTGTCTTACTTCTTGGCATTGTGTGGTGTAATAGATGAGTGCAAAGTGGAACAAAACTTGTAGAACCACCTTGCAAATGCATTAAAGCCGTGAGCAACTTAAATTGACTAGAAAATCACATTTAGACATTGCTTTCCTAAACATCAATTTTTGTACTAAATCATTACTCCCCATTGCCATCTATGTCTAGTCAAACTTGTTGGCTTTCTCTTTTCATTTTCACTTTAAAAAACAAAACACCAAACTTCCTATAACCTTATCCTCAACCCAACCCCCTTTATTAATTCAACTTCATCATCCTTCACTCCAACTTCAAGTATTCCACTTTCTCAATCTCAAAAACATAATGAAGAAGAACCTCTTCCTCATCATAGTTACTATCACCACCCTACTCCCTCTCATTGCCAATGGCGCCAAATGTCACCCTGACGACGAATCCGGTCTCCTCGCCTTCAAATCAGGCATCAAATCTGACCCGTCATCCATGCTAAAAACATGGATAACAGGCACAGATTGTTGCACATGGTTCGGCGTCAGTTGCGGAGACAACAAACGAGTTACAACTTTGTCGTTAACCGGTGATTCTGAAAATTCAAAAAGTTACTTATCAGGTACAATCTCACCTTCACTTTCCAAACTCCAATACCTTGGTGGACTCTACCTCCCAAATCTCCAAAACATTTCGGGCCCTTTTCCAGAATCTCTCTTAAAGTTAACAAAACTTGAATACATATACATAGAAAACAACAAACTCTCTGGTCAAATACCCAAAAACATAGGTACTATGACTCAACTAGGAGCATTCAGTCTAGAAGGAAACCGATTCACAGGAACGATTCCGAGTTCAATATCTGAGTTAACTCAAGTAACTCAGTTAAAACTCGGTAACAATCTTCTCACTGGAACAATCCCAGAATCTATCAAAAACCTTAAAAATCTCACTTATCTGAGTCTCAAAGGAAACAACCTAAGTGGTAACATACCGGATATTTTCAGTTCTTTCACAAACCTTATTATCCTCGAACTTTCTAGAAACAAATTTTCTGGGAATGTTCCAGCTTCAATTTCATCTCTATTTTCACATCTAAGGTTTCTCGAGTTAGGACAGAACTCACTTTCTGGAAAAATTCCAGATTTTCTAGGAAAATTCAAAGCTCTTGACACGTTGGATTTATCAAAGAATCAATTTTCAGGAACAGTGCCTAAGAGTTTTGCGAACTTAACGAAAATATTCAACCTTGATCTCTCCGACAATTTTCTCGTTGACCCATTTCCTTCATTGAACGTGAAAGGCATCGAATCATTGGACTTGTCGAGAAATATGTTTCATTTGAAGGAAATTCCGAAATGGGTCACTTCATCTCCGATTATATACTCACTGAAGCTTGCGAAATGTGGGATAAAGATGAAGCTTGACGATTGGAAACCTTCTGAGACATATTTCTATGATTTTATTGATCTTTCTGGGAATGAGATTTCAGGAAGTGCTGTTGGGTTGTTGAACAAGACAGAGTATTTGGTTGGGTTTTGGAGTTCTGAGAATATGTTGAAATTTGATTTGGGAAGTTTAAGGTTTGGAAATAGGTTGAAGTATTTGGATTTATCACATAATTTGGTGTTTGGAAATGTGACAAAAAGTGTTGTTGGGATTCAGAAGTTGAATGTTAGTTATAATCATCTTTGTGGTGAGATTCCTAAGAATAATTTGTCTGCTAGTGTTTTTGTTGGGAATGATTGTTTGTGTGGATCTCCTTTGAAGCCATGCAAAGCATAGTTTTTGAACAATATGATTATGGTATACACTAGAGATCTTGTATATGTATGGTTGATTTTGTGTTTTGCAAGAAAAATCATGTTTTTTCTTGTGAAGGACTCAATGAGTATTTATAGTATGTATAATAAAAGATCATTTTTATTTAAGAGAGTAATAACTCTTAGATGAAATGAAGAGAGTAATAACTCTTAGATGAAATGATATGAATCTCTTTTATAGATTAATGAGTAATTAATCTTGAGTTTGAATTCAAGTTTTACCAATGAAGTTGAGAACCTCTTTACTTAGGAGGGAAAGATTAGGAAATTTTAGATTTCTCTTTTTTAAATAGAATAATTTTGAATAAATCATAGAAAATTAGATACTTCATTATATTATTAAATTTGTTGATAATTTATATAATTTTATAATTTATAATATTTATAGAATTTTTTTTATCAAGTCTTCTAAGGTGTCTTTCAAGTGGACACACTCTTCGGTGTCGTGTTTATACTTGTATGAAATACTTCGATTTGTCCGTCAGATAACTTTCTCTGTGATTTCGGGCGCTTCACATTAGCGTCTTTGAATTATACGTTGGCGCATTTTTGGTAGATTCTTTTTCTCAAAGTGTTCAAGGGCGTGTAGCCTGAGAATCTCGATCGGGGCCCCCTGTTAATTTCTTTTCCTATATCTTCTTATTGGTCTTCTCTACGACGAATCCTCGACTAATCTTCATGTTTTCCAATATCAACGCCATTAGGTGCACCAACTCTTTCAGATGCTTCGACTAACAATTTCTCCTCATAATTGATATAGGATTGGGTTCGGTGAAGAATGTCACTCTTGCTCTCAGGACCTTTAAACCTTAACTTCTCCCTAAATTTGCGTTCTTCTCTTAACCCCTTCTCGAATAACCATCATTTTAACATGTCATTGACCTCTCCCACTTTAAAGGCCACCTTACAAAACAAATTGATATATTCCTTTAACATTTATTTCTTCTCCTAGAAAATGCCCCCTCAGGATGACAACCATCTTCGGATGTCACTTCCTTGATGTGAATTGTGAAGTGAAGGCGTCACATAATTCCCTTTAGGAATACATGGAACTGTCCTTCATCATTTTGAATCACGTTGTGCCGGCTCCCTTAAGCGTAAGTACAAACAACTTGCACTTTATGGCTACCTATCTTGGTGGTAATCTAGGGTGGTATCCACGTGCTCTACGTGTTCTTCAAGATCCCCAAATTCATCATAAATTTTTGGCTTCGGTGGTTTCTCAAGGGATCTAGGAACTCTACTTACAATTCGATGGGCGAACAATCCACTTCTGTTGTGTCCTTATGCATTGTGCTTATTGATAAGTGCCAAATTCACATAAAATGCGTAGCCACTTATTAATTTATTTTACAAGAAATTAATATAAAACCCCCACTTTATCTATGAAAAGTCATAAAAACATGTTTAGACTTTCCTAGCTTGTATTAACTAAAAAACAAGTAAAAAAGACTAGAAATCCACGATTCAGCATGCAAAGACCAGGCCATAGCAAAATCCTAAAAAGCAAGGCTCTCTAGGCCATGTACATAGACACGGTAAGCGAGCTCATGAGGCCAGATGACACTTCTAGGCTAAAGTACTTCATGGTAAAGAAAGAGTTTGTGAGCTAAGCACAGAGGAAGTTCTCCTAGCGAAGCAAGGAAGCTAGGGCCATTTGTTAGCCATCTAGCATTTCTTAGTCCATAACAAATCAGGCTCGCTAGGTACAAAAATGGCGTACCTAGCGAGGGCCTTGAATCCACGCATATAAATAGATGCTTACTGTTTCAAAGAGAGTTTTGGTGGAGTGAGGTATTATAGAACTGAAGTGGGCTCACCTTGGTCTATAATAAAAGAATAAGAGAGAGAGCCTAAAGACTGAAGCGCTACACAAGTGACATGACAAATAGATTTCCAAGCTCAACTTCGTGAGATTACCAGTACAACTACGATGAGTAAGCAATAACTAAAAAATTATTTGTGAGGGGTTAGATGTAGTCATTATATTCATGTATTAAACAAGTCAAAACGTTTTATCTAAGCCTACTCAAGCTTTAATATGGATAATTCTTTAACCTTAATGTCTATTTTAGATTTTATACCTAAAAATCCTTTTCATGGTATGGTTTGACATTCAAAAGGTGTTTTTCATTACTAGATTCAGTATTATCATCTATTGAATACTAATTCCTAGACATAAGGTTAGGTTCAATATTTGTACGTATTGTAGTAGGATCAATGTGGAGTCTTGCTTCTTTATAACTGTAGGAACTTAATATTATGCATTGGTTAATAGAACAAGATATCAACTATTGGATAATGTACTGATCTTACAGTGTTGAGGCCGACATATGATATGAATGAGAGCAACATGTGGTGATATTAATAGCTGAACAGAGGAGCATATTATTGACCAATGGTTATACATGATCTAGAAAGCTTTTTTTTTTTACTATTAACACCAAAATCTCCATTTAGCTTTCTTTCATTTATTTTTGGCCATTTAATTTGACGCATCAAAACAAATATAAAACCTTTCTCTATTTAGAATCTAAAAAGCAAGTGAATGATATTTTAAACTACTAGTCTTTATAATTGCGCTTATTATAAAACTTACTTTTGTGCTCATCAACAAAATGACGTCGTTGGTAGAGATTGGTGCTAGTTTTTAAAGACATTGAATAGTTTTTATTATTTAAGTGTTGTTTATATATATTTAGACTGATTCTTTAGTGTTGGTACCAGTCTTTAGTGTTGCTTTCGAAGGCAAATATTTTTAGACTGATTCTAAAGTTTTATGTAATCATTATCAATCATCCACTTGAGACTCCAATGGTTATACTGACATTTCTAGGCCCAATAAGCCCACCCAAATGTTGCATGAGAATACACCTCTACTTGTGCTTCTGCATATCTTTGGTAGTCTTCTTTAGATGCACTTTGTATGCTCCACTCACCACTCCATTCTCCTACAAAACTAAGAGCATTTGTTGAAGAGACACCGCCCAGATCCGAGGCTCTTTCGTTTCTTATGAAGTCAATATTTTGTTGAACATTTATGTTATTGAATCTGTCTGAATAAAGATTGTAGTAATGCACATCAAGGACTACTCTGTTGAAGCCATTAACAAATGAGAGAAGAACTTCGGAATCTGCGTCCAACGAATTTGACATGATTACATAAGCGTTCGGGCTGTATTTCCTAACAGCATCATAAGCTGCCTTGTAATAGCTCTTCAGGCTATCTAGATTCACACCTTGTGGCTCATTCATCAGCTCTATTCCTCCTAAACTTTGTCTATTACCATGACAACACTCTAAAGGATGAGTCATTGACCCTCCAAAGCTGCATCTGAGTAAATACTGATAAGGGTTAGTAACTAAGATTTCCAAACTTCATACAATTATATGCAACTTTGACTAGACTTTGTATGAAGAAATGAATGCTTGACCAAGTCAAATATAAGTTTAAAATAATTTTTTTGATGTATTTTGTATCCACATGAATATTTTTATAGCTTTAGTCTACGTGACTTACCTGTTTGCTACCGAAGATCATATTCAAATCATAACTCAGTGGACATAGATAGTCCCCGGAAACCTTCTAAAGGTTATCGCCCGCGAAGGTAACTAGTCCTCGGAAACCTTCTAGCTTTTGTTTCGATAGTTTTGGTTTCACAAATGCTACCTAGTTATGAGAAATCTATGCCTGAGTTAACTGTGAATTTATTCTAAATTACTGTATCTGAGGCTATAAAAACACATAAGATCTTATTCGTACTCTTCTTTTTTATTTTAGGTTTAATACATGTTTTAATTCTAGGCTTAATTAATACATGTTTTAGTTCTTTAACTTAATTTAATGTTTCGCACTAGTCCTTTAACTCCACTTCAAGTATCCAATTTAGTCTCTTCTGTCAATTTATGAAAAAAAAATGTTAAGTTCTAGTGATATGGTGTTACAGTAAAGCCATTGATACAAATTTGAGTCGGTATATGTAGTTAAGAACTCATAAATTGTTTAAACTTTGGGGTTCTTCCAAAAACAAAACCTCCTCAGTTTAAACAGTGTATGAGTTTTTAACTACATATGTTGACTCAGATTTGTACCAATGACTTTGTTAGGTCACTTCACCAAAACTTAACGTTTTTTTTTGTCAGAGATTGACGGAAGAGACTAAATAGAGTAAGAAAAGTGAAGTTAAAGGACTAACTTATAACGTTTTTTAGTTAAAAGACTAAAGCGGAACATTAAATTAAATTAAGGACTTTGCATCTAATTATGCCTTCATTTTATACACTTTTAAGATTCCTTTAGAAATTCTGCACAAGTTATTTTTATGCTTTCTCTCAATTTATACATTATACAAGTCTCTACAAAACACTTGATGTTTTTCTACACTCCAAACCATGTTTTGTTAATTTTTTTATTTATAATTAATCTAATGTCTACCATATCTATGCTTTTGATTAATAATATGTATGTTTTTATCATTATCATATGTGAGTAGTCAGTCACTTAGGATTTAGGATATGAGAATTTTTCAAATCACATATCTCATGTAAATTCTCAGCTAATATTAATAATAAGAAATTCTTGCTTGTTTTAGTTTTCTACTTTAAACACATATTTCTCTACAAAAGTAGAAGTGCTCATAGACATCAATCATATCCTAAAAAGTATGATTGATATCTGAATAAGAAAATTTGAACAATTAAACTTTAGGCTACGAAAGTCTCTCTAACTTAATTGAGAAAAATACCATTTTTAAATAGTCGAAGTTACATAATTCTAAATGAACGAACTGCGTCGCAAAAGTTAGCTGTTCTTTAGTTTATTCAACCCCCAATAATGAGGAGCCTCACTCGAGCATTGTCTATACAATCATTAGAGGAAAAAATTTCGAGTTGAAACCCTCTTTGTTGTTTATCATACAACAAAACCAATTCTCCAGTTCACTGATAAATGACCTGAATTTA